ATAATGTCTGCATCGATTCCATGAGTGTAAAGATAAATAGGAGGATAATGGAGAAAAGCTCGGCTAATATACAACTCTTGGAGAAAACTGTGGCCGAGTAAGTATTTTTAAAAATGTATATATCGTACCTTCTTCAATTACGTTACACGTTTGAATTGAACCTTGGAAAAAATGTTCTACTATTTTAAAAGGCATTCCTTATATATAGTGTATTAGGATTTATAACAGTTATTTAAAATAAAATTCTTATCAATTGTATTTTTATATAGGATGAGAGAAGAGGATGTAAATAAATTAAGGGAAGAATACGAAAGGTTGGTCGAAGGGCTGAAAGATGCTCAATTCCAGAGAGAAACCGACGTTATCTTGGCCAACCCTATTTTACCGAATGAAGTACTCGAAGGTTAAAAAAGGCCTTTTTTTTTTAAATATATTTCTCGCACGTGAGATGTCTAAACGATTTTCCTTCATTAAAATGTTGCAGAAGTCGTTCCGGGCAACATAAGAAATGCGGAGCACTTTGTCAGTTTCCTAAAACGATTCGTCGAATACTTGAAGACTCGCTTACGCGTTCAACACGTCGTGCAAGAATCGCCCGCGGCGTTTTTGAAGGATATCCAAGCGAAGGTCGCAATCGAACGGAAACCCTTGCGATTTTGCGCGCAGAGATTAGCGTCCCTCTTACGCACTATGGAGATAACAGATCTGACGGATTTCTCACCGATAACCCTGGTGACGCATCTTGCAACATTGGTCTCCACGTATACGCAGGGCTTCACGATTATAGTGGAACCATTCGACGACAAAACGCCAACAGTATTGAATCCAGTTTTACATTTTAGCTGTTTAGATTCCTCTATCGCTATGAAGCCCATATTCGATAGATTCCAGACTGTGATAATCACTTCCGGGACGTTATCCCCGTTGGATATGTATCCCAAAATTTTAAATTTTCATCCGGTTATAATGTCGTCGTTCACAATGACATTGGCTAGACCGTGTCTTCTACCTATGGTAAGTTAAAAAAATATTGGAGATAAATGATCCGATGTTTTATATACTACTCTCTTTATCTGTTTATGTTTTCCAACGCCAGATCGTTGCCAAAGGTAATGATCAAGTTGCCATTTCATCGAAATACGAGACACGAGAGGATGTGGCTGTTATAAGAAATTACGGTCAATTGCTGGTCGAATTTGCTGCGACAGTGCCCGACGGCTTAGTCTGCTTTTTCACGTCGTATTTATACATGGAATCCGTAGTCGCCGCCTGGTACATACATTTATATACACATATATATATTTAACGAAATATATTACGTTGAAATGTCGCAACAATAATTTATATATGTAACGTCACAGGTATGATCAAGGAGTTGTGGATCAACTTCAGAGGCATAAATTACTGTTCATCGAAACTCAAGATTCGGCGGAAACCAGTCTCGCTCTGATCAATTATATAAAGGCTTGCGAGAACGGTAGGGGAGCCGTTCTGCTCTCGGTAGCTCGCGGAAAGGTGTCCGAAGGTGTCGACTTCGATCATCATTTGGGCAGAGCCGTGTTGATGTTCGGTATACCTTACATGTACACGCAGTCACGTATTCTGAAGGCGCGTTTGGAGTATCTCAGAGATCAGTTTCAGGTAAATCCAATGTAACATTGAAACAGTCATAGAACGCTTCTACATTGCTTGAACAAGGTATACATACATCTGTGATGTCTTTTCAGATCCGAGAGAACGATTTCTTAACTTTCGACGCCATGAGACACGCCGCACAGTGCGTAGGACGTGCGATCAGAGGGAAAACGGATTACGGTATCATGGTGTTTGCGGATAAGGTAAATCTCTTCGGAAAATAATCTGTTGTTATATCTTAATAAAAATATTTCTGCATTTTGTAATAATATGATTCTTCTTTCACGTCTACGCCA